TGATGACAAAAAATTATTCATATAGAAGAATGATTTAGATGTTAATGGTAGGAATGACATGTAAAGTACGAACTATCTAAACATACCTAGTTAACAAAGTACTTATTAATATCAAACTGACAAACCATTGAAATTGAACTGGTCTACAAAGTAAGTAACAATAATAATGAATGGGTAAACCAACTAAAATTACCTAGAAAACAAAGTAATAATCAATATCTAACTTATAATAAATCTAAAATTAACTTAGATGACAAAAGACATATAAATATCGAACTTTCTAAAGACCTATCATCAATGTCATGAAATACTTAATGCTCCCATGTGTAAAGGAGGACAAAGCCATATAAAGGGCACCTAAGCTGCACCTACCACGGGTATCACAACTAGGTGAGAGGTGTACAAGTCAAAAACCTTACCACCAATCCACTGGTAGATATGGAAGCATTAGGAAGAAAGGAGGAGAAGAACAAACTAACACCAAAGTGAACAACAAGGAGGTATGGCAACAGGAGCAGGAAAAAAGAAAACTACTAAAATTCCCCTTGTCTTGAACATACAGAAAAAATTGAATAAACAGCTGTAAAAAGGGTGTGGAAGGTATAATCACCTGAAGAGGTGTAGAGTGTGACAGACTAGAATAAGAAAGTGCCAGAAAAACAGAGTCTAAATTGTCTTCTCCTTGATTGTAATCTTCCTCAGTAACATTGTCAGGTTGAAAAGGAGAACAGATTGCTGGCCAAACATATGAATCTAGCTTCCTGCAATTTAAAGACTGCACCTCCTCTGCAGATAAGGTCAAACCCGATTCCTGGGAAGTAGTGTTGTCGACTGGAGCTACCATAGTTCTCGTATAATTCGGAAACAAGAAGCAAATACAAAAAAATATCATTGAAATAGTTGAATGCTGACACAATAAAATAAAACTACTTGAAAAAAAAAATTGAAATGGCAAAGACACACAATCATAAATGGTAGCTACATGTGAAAAACATACGTCTAAATGAAGCTGTGCCAATCAAATGAGGATTGAATAGGAATAGCAGAGAGAGCTATCTGCACCAATATAGGTGGCATAATACTATTGGTGGAGGGTAGTCACATGATGCGTACATGTTTAAAAATGGCAGAAAATTGATGGGGTATATAGACTAGTGCACTGAGTGCAAAATGTTTTAGCAATTCTTAGAGGGCAGAAAGAAGATTGAGATAGCTTTGTGTGACCATATCAGAATTAAAGTAAACATATTACAGTCAACATGAATATCAAAATGTAAGTTTTATTGTTTACTGGTGTACATGTTTCATAGTCTACAGGTAAATTCATGTATATGTTCTATTGTCCATAAATTGACTGAGGAGCCTAAATTGAAAGTAAATTGATGTACATGTTTTATGGACTACATTTACATGTACACTGATGCATAAGTTCTATTATCTACACATAGGTTGAGGTATACAAGCTACAAGATTGATATACCTATCATATAATCAACAAATTACTTTATGTATATATATATATTCTATAGTCTACTGGTATAAATGGTATATAAATTACAGTTAAGAATGATATAACTATATATCTACAAATTTTCTTACCTTTGTAGAACGAGAATATTCAAGATACCAAAACTTTACATGTCGATTCCCAACCGTAACAAAGTAGTTGCCACCAGCAGAAAACGACAAAGCTTTAACCTGGAGAAAAAGATAACTCAGTCTACACAACCTAAAAGAACTAACTCTAAACAACTTAACAGCTTTGAAGTATGATTCTGTTGAAAGTTCCATTTCAAATAAGTCAGGCTGGTACAAAATACTTACGACAAAAACCTACATGCAAGCATTTAACTGTTTTTATCAAACATATTCTATATTTTTGTATCAGGCTGTTAATTTTGTTATTCAAAATTTATTACATAGCTTTTCAGGTTGTGAACTGTTCATGTTACTTTGAAGTCACTTTTGAATACCAGTTTGATAAAGATGTTCAAATTTATTACTGTTCTTTTCATATCAATGCTACTACTGAATCCTAGCTTGATAAAGATGTTCTTATCATTTATTGATCTTTTCATACCAATCCTACTACTGAATGATAAAAAAGTTCAGATTTATTATTGATATTTTTATAGCAATCCTACCGCTGAATCCTAGCATGATAAAGATGGTGAGATTGATTACTACTCTTTTTATGCTGAAGTTAATATTAAACTTTAGCTTAATAAAAAAATTCAATTAATTGGTATTCTCTTTACACTGAAGTTACTGCTGAATCTCTGCTTGATAAAGAAATCTGAAGCATTTAAATGTACACTCCACACTTACCTTACATGAAACTTTATTGGAAGCCACTTTAACATTGTTTTTCCAGTCCCAAACATTAACTATCATGTCATGTTGGGAGCCCACAGACACAACATATTTCAAGTTTGGGGAAAAAGCCTAAAGATAAATTGTAAGTGTAAATTAAAACTTCAAATGCCATGGTCATAGCCTGAAGATTTTACAACCTAAATATAAAAATATATGCATATATTACTACTTTCAGAAGTTGACACTAAAACAAACAAAACAAATATTGTGTAATGATTTTTCCTTTAAGAATTTTTATTTCAAAAGTATCTAAATAGTAAATTAGATTTAATTTTTAGTATTTGGTAAAAACTATATTGTGTCAGCTATTATCTAACAAACCAGAGAAAACTTTATATATGCACAATTTTCTATTTAGTACAGTAAATACAGTAATACAGTATGTATTAACAACATACTTACCACACAGTTAATTCCAAATTTATGTCCAGGGAACTCAGAAACCTGAGAACATTCCTGTACATCCCAGACCCTGAGGTGAGGCTGATGTCCACACTAGAAAATAAAAACAGTTCTACCCTCTCTCAGAACATTACTGTACATCCCAAGACCAGAAGTAACATTGGATTTGTGCAATAACACATATACTGTTCTAAATTTTCTGATAACATTTATGTACATATCAAATTCTGAGGTCATTCTGAGCTCTACACTATACCATAAATATTTTTTTTTGAAATTTCTGTAAACATTGATAAACAGTAGTGTGCAAATTTACTAGAATACCCTACTGCTCCTGTAGTTTTGAATTTTATGCTTATGCAACAAAACCATTGTTGTTTAAAATGTTGGAAAAAGCATCATATAAGCAAATTATTGTTTTTCTTACTTTATCTATGACTTTAATATGCTGCAAACTTAATTAATCTAACATTTTGGGAGAAAAGCAACATACAGCCATAAGTGATTAAGTGCAGTATATTTTTCTAAAAGTTGTTGAAGGTATCTATTCTAAATAAAAATTGGTGTAACACTGTCATGCATAATTTTTTTCATTTTGAAAACATTGTCCAATACAACTAATATACAGCAGTGTTGCTTTAAAATGCCAAAATTTTGAGAATTAACATCCTTTGATAGAGCCACAGTCAAATTGTTACATGATGCAGGTATAAAAATTTAAAAAATTACAAAGGATCTCAGCTGTTAACCAAGTACTGTGAAAAACACATTGAACAAATACAAGGAAACATATTCCTATAACATCAGACAAGGCATGAGACAGAGAATAAAGTTCCCTGAAATAGATGTTAGATATCCAAAAATAAATTCCCTGAAAAAAAAAATTCAAGAAGTACAGTCTCAAGAATGGTACACAAATGTAGCCTTTGAGGAAGAGCAGCACAAAGAGAATTTAGTAAACAGACTAGTTTTTTTCAAAATAACATGTATCCTAGTCTTAGGAACAGTGGCATAAGATGCTTTGGACAGACACGTCAAAATATTAAATGTTTGGTTTTAACAAGTGTGTATATGTTCACTGAAGAGTTAATGATAGGTTCAAAGATTAGTGCCTTGTGCCAACAATCAAGTATGCAGAGAGCTCTGTGATGATTTGGGGTGCACTATCTCTAAATTGTGTTGGCCATCTTCACAAAATTGATGGAAGCATGGACCAACATAAATACTGCAGTATGTTAACACTTCATGCTGTATTCTCTGGAAAGAAGCTGACTGGGCAAAATTTCATATTTCAAGAAAATAATGATTGCAAACAAACTTCCAAGAAATGTTGAGATTATATGGCAAAGAAAGAAAGAAAATGAGATTTCCAGTAAGAGAAATAACCATCACAAACTCCAGACCTTAATTCCATAGACAAATCTGGGATTTGCTGAGCTCCACACCATGACAATTTACCAACTGGAAACATCTTCAAGAAAAATGGATTCAAATTACATCACAGATTTTGAGAAAATACATAGACACAATGTAACAAAGATGCCAAAGGTAAACACACTATATACTAGCATTAAAGAAACTGAAAAACATTATTTGTGTACTGATCTTATAATAATTTCTTGTAAGAACAATTTTCTGTTATTACAAGTTTATTTCTTTAATAAATCAATGGCTATTTTGTGTGCAAAACTCATAAAATGATAATTGTTAAGGTGTTCCAATAAATTTGCACAATACTGTATGCTCCAAGTGGTATTATTTCTTATTATTAGCTAAAAATAGCCTTAAATTATCAAAGTAAAAAGAAAAAATATTTAAAGGGCAACTTTTAGTTCTATCAATAACATAATTAAATGATTTATTTATGGTTTTAAGCTGCACATCAAGTCAAAATTAGAAATATATATTTAAAGCTTAATATGATACTATCTTCTTATATGCCCACACACTTAGTCACCTCAACATTATAATGCATGTCAAACACCATAAGTACAGTGATGTTTGTTTATTAAAGTATCTGGAATCTTTAAAGCACATGTTATAGAATACAAAAACATTGCTATATTAAATATACAAAATTATTAGCCCCATAGAAATGCTATGCTACATTAGAGGATACAAGAAAGCCTAGTGACAGTCAAGCCAATATACTTTATGTCAATTCAATTAAAACATAAATGTATAATACAAAAATCAAAACATCATTCTTATACTTATAAAAACACAAAGATCTACAGTTTACCTCTCCTGTTGCCAAGTATCTCCCATCCCAGGAGAAGGCCAGTGAGGTGATGGTTTTTTTGGAAGAACAAAGAATGTGGTTTTGCTTGTTTTTACGAACATTATACAAAACCACCACACAGCTAGAAGATAACAAAAAATAAATTGATTATGGTTTTTCAAAACAGAAAATTAAATTTTTATTTAAAACAACTAGAATTTAAAAAAAAACATTTTCATAACATAAATTTTAACCAAAACTACTCTAAAAGTAAAAAAATTTTGTTTGTTTTCCTTCTTTATTGGGAGCTTATTTTATCATATCTGTAAAGTTCCCCTGATGTACTAATATTTATATTTTACCTTAATGTTGTATTTCCATTCTCAATAATTTCCATTCTTCATATTCTAAAGCTTACTTTTTATTTTTTAAGTGTGTTTACTGTATTTTAATACCTATACTTTTTTCTCTTAAAGTTTCTTTCTTGTATCTTCATAATCAACTTTTTTTCATTGCTTAATGGTTAACCTTTATGTATTTTAATATTTATCTGTTAACAGTTCTTTTACTTGTATGTTATATTTACCTTTAATTTCTTATAGTTAATTTTCTTAGTCCTTAATAGTAAATTTTATACATTTTAACAATTCTCTTTATATTTAATGATATTTTTCTTTTTATCTTGCTCTGTGAATGGATAAAACTTTTTCAGCTGTTAAAGTACCTGTACATTTAGAATACATGTTAATGGACAAAGCTATAATAATGAATACGTTGATATGCATGAGTGCACTAAATTACTTTCATAATAAAAACCAACAACTCACAGTTACCTGATTATATTTTTCATGGAAAAAAAATATAATAATTTTCTGAAATGCACAGTTATAACTTAGAAGATTCATATAAGGTCTGAAAAAGCAACACACACACAATGAATAAACTAAGAACAAGATATTTAATGATTAAAATGCAAAATAACAAGTGCTTGTTAGTTCCAGTAGTACTCTAGTGCAACCTGGTCAGAGCAGTTTTATCATTATTGTAAATCACTAATCCACAGATCCTGTTGGAGACATCAATAGTATATGTAACCATAAAAATTCAACTACATGCAGTGCAATAATAATAAGTATGGCCACTACAACAAGATAAAATCCATATGGTATGAACCAGACCTCTTCCACAAAAGGTCATTTTCATTTTAAAATTCTGGAAAGAACTAAGTTTCTTTCTGAAAATATAATTATTTAACTGTCACAAAAATGTTTTTTACTTAATATAATAGAAAACAGTGTAGCAAATAATTCTTACACCAAATTTTGCATATCATGCTACTGTATGTTCACCTAGTTTCTGTTTTACATATTTTTAATGAAGTGATCAGTTTTTGACTTCACCACGGTTAATTAAGAAATTTGAATGTTAGCATTACATAAACCCCAGTCAGCAAGTCTTATCATGACTAGATTTCACTCTCAAAATTTCAATTTTTTGTATCTGATTTATTATGTATTACATGCTTGCCTTTTAATAATTTTAGAAATCAAACAACAACCTAGTTAAAATGATACATTACATGTTATAGTTTAGATACTATTTACAACTATGTGTTTTTTTTAGAGAGAATGATGCATAGTTTAAACAAGCTTAGAGCACTTTAAAATAACATGGCTACAGTATTAAACGAAACCATTGAGAACAACAAGAAATTATGGAAAACACTTCTTAGACAGTTAAACACACATACACCTCCAGCAACAAACCACTTGCTACAACACCCAGTCAAACTACACCCACTGAAATTTCAAGCTTTACAACTGGAAACTAATGTATGCAGAAAGATGGAATGCTAACTTTGAGTTCTGAAGAATATAATTATTCTGTACTCTTTCATAAAAGATAAGTAACATATAAGAGAATATAATTTACAATAGCATATGTTTGTACTTATTCTTTATGAGTTTGTACAAATGCTTAAAAAATAACTGACTTTATGAAACATAAAATATTTGTACATATGTTTATCCTATATTTTTATATCATAAAAACACTCATCAAGTTGATCTCAATCTATATACCTGTAAGGCACCTGGTGTTCTATGCTTTCTATTAATATACACTTGTCAACCTTTTTACATATTTCTGCATATGAAA